ATTAGAAATGTATTTAGTGACAACTGTCCTTGTTAATGACCTAATAGTGTAAGAAACGCAATGATTAATGGCACGAGATGATTCGTGTTAATCAATGCCAAAATGTTGACTAATTTTGTGTTTTCAATTGCTAATTTCTTTAAAACGACTCTTATTTCACACATGAAATTTGCACACACATACACTGTGTCTATTTGCTTTAATCTGAGTAAAATATATCGTGATGAAACAAGTTATAATTTTACTTTCGATGAAAATGAGGTAAATTTCGGGTAAAATTTTAGTCTTACTAAAATGCTGAAATACTTACTCTAAAATAACTAAAGTACTTTACGCCTCCGTTACATGATATGTTTAATATATAAACTATATTATAAGGACTATTTTATCCACCAACAAGGAACGCAATACTTTTATTTTTCATGTTAAAGATTCCTCGTACAATACGGTATTTGGGGGTACCCTGTAAAAACACGAAATTTAGAAAATCGTGACCACGGGAACTTACGACGACAATCATGATTCTAAAATATAATGATTTTCCTATAATTTGCAACAAAAAATTGAAAACAACACGTTTAATGATTCCATGCGTCCTAACCGCTTTTCTGGATTTACCTTCATCAGGAACGCTCAAAGCCAAACATTTGAAATCCGAGGATGTATAATTACCGAAACCGTTGAAGAGCTATATGACAAAAATACCTAAAATAAATAGCCAAATTCATCTAAAGTCAACTTTGCCTGAGGGAGTTGAAACCTTAGTTTCTTAATAATTTTAAAATTTAAAACGGACAATTTTAAAAAAGTTTGTTAAATCATGTCAGTACCGAAGTACTGACTACTGAGCTGATGATACCCTCGGGGAATGATAGTCCACCATCAGAGGTATCGACCCAGTGATGTAAAAAATTGAAAACAACACGTTTAATGACATCATGCGTCCGAAGCGCTTTTCTGGATTTACTTTCATTAGGAACGCTCAAAGCCAAACATTTGAAATCCGAGGATGTATAAGTACCGAAACCGTCGAAGAGCTTTATGACAAAAATACCTAAAATAAATAGCTAAATTCATCTAAAGTCAACTTTGCCTGAGGGAGTTGAAACCTTAGTTTCTTGATAATTAAAAATTAGCCCTGTGTTATTCCGTTAATTTAAACTCGGTAACAAGAGGACTTTCAGGACACTGGTCATCCTACTTATAGTAACAGACTGTTAAAACATCCAATTTAAGCGTCTGCTCGTCTGATATCGTAGTCTAGGGGAGGGAAACTAGAATTACATGTACGTATTTTAATGTAGACATTAAAATTCGACCAAAGGGTAATCGTCCTATACTGAATATTACTTATGTTCATATAAACTCGACTACAGTTATTGTTGTGACCTTAGATTTTCATTTAAACACACAAAAATAATCGAAAAAGAGACGGTAAACGGTTTTGATAAAAAAAAATAATTTTTCCTAAAAATTTTCTTTTTTCATATGTCTGAAAGGCAAATTGTGTTAAAATTTGGTAAATTTCAAATAAAATTTGAGTTTTTCAAGGTTAATTAACAAAATTTGTTTCAGCATTTTTTTTCAGGAATTAAATGATAACTTTTTTTTCTGGCAAAGTTTGAAAAACAAATATGTTATCTGAACTGGCCAGAATTTTCGACTTATTCAATAGTTTAAACGATTTATTCACATTCAAGCTAAAAGTATTACAATAACATTTCAGATTTACTTTAAAATATGTTTCTCATATAGATTCTTATAGTCATGGGTATTCCTTATGAGAACATGTGCAAAAACACACAATAATATATTCCTACTAGGGTTTTCGACAGTTTTTGTGGTACCTCAAAATTGGTCATATTCAATATAACATAAACATAAAATGCAACGGTGAACTTTAACAAGACTTTTGTGAAAATATAAGAAAAATTAGATGAGAGGACAATCTTGAGGTAACCAAGTCCTATCCCCGTATTTGCACTATCAAAGTTGGTTTTAAGTTTTGTCACAAGTTTTTTTGTGAAATTGGATTTTGGCTTAAGACTTGTCTAAGGTGTGATCTGACACTTACGATTTTTTGTGAAATTAATCTCTGGTACTAAGGTGACGGAGACCTGTACTGAGATTGCTGTGTCAATGGAGAAATTGTTAACAGCTTGTGCAATACAGCTACAGCTCAATATTTGGATGCCATGGTAGAGCCTATTTTATTATATGGTTGTGAGATTTGGAGGCACTTAGGTTTTTGAAAACGGATTTTTAAAATAAGGTCTACAACACCTAATTAAATGGTCTATGAAGAATTAGGCAGATTTCCATAAAAAGTAAATAAGAATGATATCATTTTGAAGAAAAATATTGCATGGTGAAAAATTATGTGATAATATGTAGAATATTACTTTGTTTAAAGCAAAATAGCAGTCAGTTCTTCAAATGGTTGAATTTTATTGAATCAATATTTAAAGATACAGGATTGGGATATGTATTTGTCAATCAAGATAGTTTTGACTATAGAGATCTTTTAAAACAGGTTTTACAAGACCAATATATTGAAAATGGCATCAAGATGTTCAATTTTCTTCCCGTGGTGTATTTTATTCAAGTTTTAAAGAACGATTTAGTTTTGAAAATTATTTAATAAAGATGCCGGAAAACGCAAGAATCTGGATGACAAAATTAAGAACATCTTACTTAAAAATTCCCATTGAAACTGGGCGTTGGCATAATATTCCTGCGGAGGACCGAAAATGTAATTTATGTAAAGAAATATAGGAGACGAATTTCACTATCTTTTTGTATGTAAGTCTCCGCAACTGGTTAATATTAGAGAAAAATTGATTCCTATTTATTATACGAAGTATCCAAGTAAACAGAAATTAGCAGTCATGTTATCTTATTGCAATGTTAAATTATATAGACAGGTGGCATCTTTTATTAGAAACCTAAATAACTTATTGTGATATGTATAATATTTTGTATATATTCTTTATCAACTGTTTATTGTACTATAATTCGTGTTTATTATTGTATATTTACCTCATGTTACACTTATATATTATAATAAAAAATTTGGATTTTTTTGTTGAATAAAACAAAAGATATATTAGTATGTCACAGTCTTATTCTCATCTACGTACATAACAATAAAGGAAATTTGTTAGCAAACCCAACAGTAAGCCTTGACAGGTTCAGATATTATAATTTTAAACAATAAAACAGAGAAAAAATAACGAGCGAACTGAGTTTATAATATGCGACGTTTATTACAAATCTTCTCATCTTCAAAATCCGATATCGGAACATGTATCGATGCAATGCTAAAAAATACAATAGTTAATTATCTTGTCAACGGGAAACGTATTTGCTTTCTTTTCGAACTGACGTTGCATCGCCTACTAAAAACTACAAGACCAGTTTATTTGATATCATGAAGTTAGAGCCTTTATATATGTTCAGTATAAGTGCATCAACGAATCTCGGTGTGCTGTGTTAAAATGCACACAAATCATCTGTATCAGATCATGCAGATATCTAGTTTAAATGTTTTGTAAGTGTATTATCATCCAAAAACACAATATTAAAGTTAAGTTTTCAAATATATACCTTTAGACAATATTAATAATGAAACGAATAGAAAAAAGACAATTTGAAAAGTGAATTAAGATATGGGAACTTTCCTATATAAAATTACTTATAACTGCATATCCTCTCGGACGAAGTGACATACATCACAGGAGAGGGAAGCAGATCTAAAACCTCATCTTTTTATTGATGGATTGATTAATTGTTGGTTGCTTAACGTCAGGTGGCAAATATTTCATGTATGGTCAGGGCGAGAATAAATGATAATAAATACAATAGGTAGGTCTTATAAAAGAGGACGTCGGTAATGAAGGTCGGGGAAATTTGGACTGGCACTGGAAAATGAGGGTATATTGGAAAGTTACAGAAATTTGGCCTAACAACAGGCCACATACGGACATCCTTAAATAGTCGTTGCAAGCGTTTGTTGCGTGCAAAAGGCGTGGCACTCTCTTTATACGAGGTATCCGATTTAACGTCCCAACTATGACCGGAAGTGACTGCTTGCTTATGCATCCTGCTCAGCCAATCAGACGCCCTACTTTGGGTTTAACTAACAGAAAAAGTCCAAGAGTGACCATATTTCTATTCCCAACTTATCTATTGATATTATAGATATCAAGGGTTCAATAAGTATATAACTTGAAGATCACATAGATTACGTATCCGTCAAAATCTACGGATATATCATCAATAATCTGACAATCCTGAATATCTTTATGACAACGGAAGGCAAAAGTTAAATCCGTTCGAATTATTGTAAACAGTCAATTCAAATCAAATTGGGTTTTAAAAACGAATCCCCATTTTGTGTGTATTATTCAATAAAATTGAAAATGGAAATGGGGACAACAACCCGACCAAAGAGCAGAAAGCAGCCCAAAGCCACCAATGGGTCTTCAACACCGCGAGAAAATCCCGCACCCAGAGGCGGACTTCAGCTGGCCCATAAACAATAATGTATACTTGTTCATTGCGAATGGACGTCACACTAAACTCAGAAACATATAGATGAGCCAAAATTAAAAAAAAAAAAACAACATACAAAACTAACAAAGGCCAGAGGTTCCTGACTTGGGACAGGTGCAAAAATGCGGCGGGATTAAACATGTTTTGTGAGATATAAACCCTCACCCTTTACCTCTAGTTAGTCGTCGATCCGCTATAACTTTTATTCCACAACGATGTACGTTGTAACAAAAACCTAATTTAAAGCATTGCTTTCAGTAGATTTTTGATGTATGGAACAAAAGAAATTAGTTCAAAAGTACAAGATATATGGATGTTTGTGTTTGCTAATGGTCTAGAGCCAAATATTGGATGCATATTTCGGTTGAATTAGAAACGAGGAAAATCATTACAGTGTCATTGCGTTAAGAATGAGAGCTTATTAATTAAATAAGAAACTAAATTACCTTCTGCACATTTCGTAATGAAGAAAATCAGGAAAATAATTCTCACCGTGGTTGAAATAGTGTTCATTTTTTCTCCTTGTAATTGCTATAAAAATAAGAAATGCTCTATACATTAAATAAACTACTTTATCATATACAATACAACAAATTTGAGCACAAAATTTATTTTTTGAATGATCAGGGTTAATCGACAAACAACTGAAATGTATTAATGTTGTTGACCTTTTTCTATAATGCCACAGCTGACTGTATATATAAGAAAGATATCAAATGAAGTAAATTAACTTTAAATGTATGTTATCTTCAGTCTGTTCAGTCTTATATAAAGCCACAATTACATGTTTGACTAGCTTGATAAGTTTTACCAAAAAAGGTATCTGCGGGATCTAGATTTTTGTAGTGACAGTCAATTTGAGTGTGGACGTTAAATCTTTGATACAAACACAACATGGAATGTCAACACAATGAAATGGTTTAAATGTTAAACATTTAACCGCTTACTCCATAACATTTGTCATACTATGACACTGGCTGTCTACACAGATATTTTCAATCGCAATGTTGTCAATATCCCTAGTAAAGCGATAATAGTCACTGTATCAAGAAGAATGCGCATGACAAAAATGATTTCTTGTTTATCTTTTTCAAATAGATTCGGCTAAGATAATTATTTTAGTTCAAGATATATTTGACACCAATGATAAACTTGAAGATTGTCACCTCTCTGAATGCAATAAAACCAATCAACAACAGTTGATAGTATAATAATCTACCAATTGTTATTCCCTTTTCTTTGTGAAATGTGGGATTAAAAATAATGATTATAATCTAAAATGTATAAATTCATGATTGTCTCAGTTTCCAGGTAGTTATTTTAATTAAAATTTTGGCAGAATGATCGTAACGTCCAAGTTCGTATATGCCATGCAGTTTAAGATATCCATATTATTATTTGAAGGGTCGTATCTTCCTCGGAAATATTCTAATCTATATATAATCAATAAAGATTCTGGTGTTGGTTGTTGAAGTGATTTTCTGTAATATTGGTAACATTTACAAATCTGTTTTCAATTCTTATTTTTCATTAAACAGAAAATAATGATTTTAAATTAATAAATGATTATAATTCTGACACTCCTTTCATCAAGAAACAAGATTTTTCACGTAAGGAAGAACAGTTCAATTTGGCATTTGACTCTTGCAAATGCAGTTTTATTTACTGGCGCGAAAAGGAACCAGTAAAACAGATTCGACCGTCAAATTCAAACTGACGGCGGTAACTCATCAACTATAGTACTGTATTCTAATTCCAATGCATTAAAAAAAGAAACGATCCGTTAAAGCTCGAAAAAAATGTTCAAATTCAAAATAAAATAAAATTGAAACTTCATCAATGATTTTGGCACAAAAACGTTACAGTTAAACATGACTTCATGCGAATGGAAACTATCAAATAGAAAGGTTATTACATTCATATTTGGATAATATTAAATAAAAACGCCTTTTTTGAGGTAGGTATTGTTTTATATTCGATTATATTGTAGTAATTGAACATTTGTGGATTCAAGCATTTCAAAATGGCATTAGAATTACTTAATAAACTCATCATAGATACCAGGATTAACATTTTGTTTCATGTTTATATGACTCACCAGAATCATTTATTTGCCTTAGTGTTTCGAATGCTTTTTTAAATCATATTAAATTACAGTTAATTTAAAGAAAAATTACCGTATACATTATCTTTCTTGTCAGTCCAAGTGTTGACTACTAAACTTGTGCCAACCCCATGGACGAAACGATTGCTAACAAAAACATCGACTTACTGTTTTAAAAACTCGTCAAGCTCATAACTGAGAAGTCAGATTGAAACTCTACAAAAGAGATCAGTTCGAAACTTTTGTTCAGGACCGCTTATTTTAGCCTTTTTTTATTCGAGAGTCACTGATGACGTAGACGAAACTCTCAAAATGTCCAAAATTGTTGATGCTTTATTCTATCTTCACAAAATTATGTTGTTGTTTCAGCAGACAAAGCTCCAAACAATTTTGTTTTTATACGTAAAAACCATAATTTGGAATATCTCATTAAAGAACTTGGAATTCATAGCACAACTGTACACCCCTTACGAACGAGGAGAGTTTAGATAATTACAAATTCCTCCTTCTCTCCTTTAGAATTACCTCAAGGAGGACGATGAATATCTCCCATTTTCTTACTGGATACTTAAACTTAACAAAAATCCTTATAAAGAACGATATATAGATGTTCGACTAAACAGGGTTCTAAAGTTTTACCACAATTCTTTCTTCAGTAAAAGATGGCCTTCAGAAGGTGAGGATGTATATTGAACCAGCGGTGTCAATCAGACGTTGATTCTTAATAATTGTAAAAGACTTACTCCAAAATCTTCAATCACTATATTGCATTAATATCAAAACTTTTGAAATTTCTTCTCTTTATACTGCTATTCCCTATATTCAATTGCAAGATCGACTACATCGTCTTATTTAACAGAGCTTAGGAAACGTAAATACCAATTCCCTGGTAAGGTTCAAGAACATATTACTTTGTGTAGAACCACACTGATTCATACAACAAATACATCAACATTATTGACTTTTTCTCAGCAACATATATTTGAGTTTGGTGGTTTAATATTTCAACAGACAGTCGATATTCCAATGGTACTAATTGAGCACCACTACTGGCTTACTTGCTTTTGTACTCATATAAATCAGAATTTACACAGAAAATTATCAAAGACAAAAAGAAAAACATCTAGCAAAGTTCTTACATTTCACTTTCAGATATAAAGATATTCTGTCACTCGATAACCCATATTTAACATAATGTTACCATCTCAATTATCTTAATGAATCTGTGATTAAGGATACTGCTGTAAGAAGAAGGTCTGCTGTATAGCTTGATTTTTTTCAATTTTAACACAGATGGATGACTTGCAGCTAGAATCTATAACAAACGTAATGAATTCACTTTTCCACTTGACAACTCCCCATTTCATCGCAGTAACATACCTCCGCTCAATGGTATAGCGCTTGCATATCTCAGTTAAGACGTGGGGCCTCGGTGGCCGGGTGGTCTAAGTAGTTACTACTGTAATCACTAGCCAGTCAACACTGAGGTTGTTAGTTCGAACCCCGCTCGTGCGGGTGCACTCGACTTCAATCTTAATTGACTAGGATTGTCAGTTTTCCTATCGAAGGTCGTGGTTTTCTCCGGGCACTTCGGCTTCCTCCACCAATAAAAACTGGCCGCCACGAAATAGCCCAAAAGCGGTGCTTAAAAGTGGCGTTAAAACACCAAAAAAAATCAAATCAGTTAAGACGTTACACTCGTTCACACAGTATGGACTCCATTATTCGAAGTGTTCGCCTTACATAAAAAACTGCCCAAGCAGAGGTAAACATCGGTAAAATAATGTCGCGTTAATTTATGTCTTGTCTGGATAATACATTTAACATGATATTAGTGCAGTCAGTATGTGTTGCAATATTCAGGAGACATGTAATAATTACCAACCCAACAAATCATAACTTTGAATGGATATAAAAAACAGTGACATTGTACGCTTATCTAGAATGGAATATATGTACATGACAATGTAGAGGCTTAAAACGTTATCGATTGTATAGTATCTGTATGTCGAAAAGTATCATCAGAGCTTGACATGTACCGCTTGTAAAACGAAACTACACACAAACCAACAAACATAAACAAAACGTGTTTTAAATAGTTTTGATGAATACAAATTTACAACACAACAGTTTATTTAAAAATGTTCAAATATGTAATTGTTGCAATTCATAAACATATAAACTATTAACACATACCTATTGTGAAAAGACATTAAATTCAAATGGGGTGAGGATAGAAATACGATAGCCACCTAATATGGTATTATGTTTTAAACCTTTAATCTCTTAACCTGGTTCACTTATGCATGAATAAAATGTTACATTATATCGACATATTCAATATTACATTTAGTCAAAATTAATTGTTCTTTTTAAACTAACAGATATGCCCCTAGGAAATATCTGTACATGGAAAATAGCATTGTATGCGATAAACTGCCTACATTTCATGTGGGAAGTTTATCAAAAATATATATATATTCATTGCTTACCTTTGGACAGATAAAGAAATTGCATCGGCGGGGAACTTTGGAAAAGTGAGGAACGCTATTTTTTTCATTTTAGTTTGTATCCTTTTACATCTATAAGTATAATAATTATTGACACGCGAGTTGTGCACACGGATATCACACATTTTTATAGTATTGGGTATACGTAAATAGAACAGACAACCAACAACAGAAAAAAAATAACAAAAAGACATGTCACCAAATAGTCATAAGCAATATACCAGTGTGCATAAAAGCCAAAATGGGCCACAAAAATAGAAACCCCAAAACCATTAAGGTCAACTTCCCTTAGAAATTGACAGCCTAAGTTAAATCTCTGTTTATGCCTGTTGTCATTTCAATCGTGATCATCCATAATCAAAGTCAGGAACCAAAACTGGCTGTTAGTTGGTATCACTGCCTTTGGTTGTTTTGAAACATCAAATTTAATACAATACTTTTATTTGTTTTGTTATGTTGTCTCATCGACGTTTATCAAATATCTTTTCTTATTAAAAAAAAAATAAATGTATTTCATTGATAGTCCCTGTTAAAACCATTTGGTATTCCTCACGTGGGTCGATGTTGAAATTGACACATTACAAGTACACTTTTCTATTGTTGCAAACCATATTCATCTCATATATGACTTCTATGATTCATTGTAATGTGTAGTCCGGAATACCCATCACTCCTTGATACACTTTGTACATTTTTTTGTATCCACTCTTTGATTATACGAAACTTGCGCCATTACAGTGTTACAGTAATCAATATAAAAAACATTTTCATTATCATAAAAAAATCAATAAATTAAGTTCTTACCTTATAATATTTTAATATACACTGCTTTTATACAATAATGTAGATATAGTGATACATTAAAAAGGAAAGTGGGTTTTACATTTATTGTGATGGAATTTCCAAGTAATACGACACTCTACCTGGTTTAAAATATTTTTTTTATGGGGAACAAAATTGAATCAGTATTAAATATAAAACTGTGGCAATATACTTAACACTGGGTAGTTTTGGAATAGACTAATGCTTACTACTTTCAATCAGATAAATTTGAACCATTCACAGTTTGGCACTTCTCGTTTCAAATAATCTATAGAATTAGAACAGATATAATAGGTTTTGTTTTAAACAAGTAAACTTCAATAAAAGTCAATGAAACTCTCTGGATATTCATTTGACAATTTCATGGCTTTACCGTCTTTATTGTATGGTCGTCTGCCCTTCAAAACAGCACAGATGGTTTTAATAATGAGTTCATTAGTAAATCTCGTCTAATTATCAAAAATAGGAAGATAACCAATATCACTACACAGTTCAGATTTGTTTATATATTATAATTGTTTTTTCTCTCTACTAGGCGAATCACGAATGTTGACCGAAATACATTTTGACAATACATGGGTTCATGCTTTTATACTTGATGAAATTGATGAATTTTTATTTGGCGTAGAAAATCCGAATTTAAAGGCTACAAAAATAAAGATTTTTTGGTATTATTAAATTATTTTTTAATTTCCAAGTCAATATAGAAATAACATAAATAAGGAGATGAGGTATGAATGCCAATGAGACAACTATCTCCAAAGTTCAAATAAAGTGGATTCTTCAGTTACTTTAATTTTTCAAGTGTATTTGTTAACCTGACAACACATTCACGAGGATTCTAAAAACATAAATAAGTGATTTAAATTAAAGATTACTAGAATTTATTACAAACTGTAACGGCTTGACAACAAAGTTACTGTATAAGTATTGAAAAGAATATATTATTAAAATTCAAATACTTGAATGCAAATAATTTTATCGTTGGATTTTATCTGATAACGTAGGAATGTATTTACTCAACTCATAATGATAAAATGACCTCCAACAATGCTCAGCAGTGTTTTCAACTATAATGTTTTATATAGAATCAGCGAGATCTTTCCTAAAAGTAAAATGCAAAATGTAAAGTTTTCTTTTTTTGACGATTTAAATATATTGATTTTTGAACTTTATTCAAACATTAAAAAAATCGAATTTTGTGATTTGTTATGAATTAAACGAGATGTGGTGTATATGTCAATGAGGCAGCAATAAACGATACAAATAACTCAGCATACTGTCTTCATCAATATAAAAATATCTATACAATGTCAAATCTATATCAATCTAAATCGCCCATATCTGAAAACAGTTTTTGTTAATGAATTCAATAAGAACGTTCAATAATTTACCATCATCACCAACTTCTCCATCTGTGGTGATTATCTCCTTATTAAGAAAAAAAAAACAACAAACCCATGAATAAAACTGAATTAGAAGTTCATTCAAATAATGTTGACAAATCAGTTTGTGACGGAGAAGTAACAATAGAAGAATATACTATAGCTATAAATGCAATGAAATTAAATAAAGCACCAGGGCTAGATGGTCTTACAGTCGAATTTTATCAGATGTTTTGGCAAAAAATAAAATATTTTTTAGTCAAGGTTTTAAATAAGGGTAATCAAAAAGACAGTTTATCGCACTCACACGCACTAGTATTTTGACATTATTGTTTAAAAAGGGGGATCATTTATTGTAGGATAATTATAGGACAATTGCTTTACTAAATGTAGATTTAAAATTATTGTCTTTTGTCCTAGCACAACGCTTAAAGAAGATACTACCAAAAATTATTAATGAAGATCAAACAGGGTATATTGAAAACAGATTTATTGATTTTAATTTGAGACAGATTCAAGACATTATTGATTATGCGGACGCATAAACGATTGAGGGGGGCAATCGTTTTTGTAGATTTTAATAAAGCTTTTGATTCATTGGAATTGGATTTTATGTTAATCACTTTGAAACATTTTGGATTTAACGTATCATTTATAAACTGGGTAAAAACATTACAAACTTGTGTTATTAATAATGGATGGATTTCAGAAAATTTTTAAAATTCAAGAGGAATAAGGCAAGGGTGTCCCATATCAGCTCTCCTTTTCGTTTTATCTGTGGAGATCATGGCTTAAAGAATTCAAAAAAACAAAGATATCAAAGGGTTTGCAGTTAAACTAGATAATAAAAATCATAGCTTTAAAATTTCTCAATTAGCTGATGATACGACTTTATTTCTCAATAATAAGAAAGAAATTAAAGCTGCAATGAACGAAATAGAAATTTTTGGATCATTTTCTGGGTTAATTTTGAATAAAAATAAAACAGAGGGTAAATGACAGGAAAACTGAAAAATAGTAAAGATAAGGTAGCCGGGATTAATTGGACAAATAAACCAGTTAAGGCATTAGGAATATATTTTGATCATAACAGGGAAGAATGTGAAAAATTAAACTGGGAGAATAAGATTGAGAAAATGGATAGATTATTTCATTTATGGGAGAAACGTAATTTAACTTTAAACGGGAAAATACTTATTATAAAAACATTAGTTTTACCACTTTTTACGTTTTTGGCAGATGCCTGTATAGTTCCAGAGAAATATAAAAAGATATAGAAAGTAACTGCTATAAATACATCTGGGATTAGTAAACTCATTAGTAACGGTATTTCAAACTGGAAGTTGATTCCTTTAAAATATCTGTGTGGTTGGTATAAATTGGTTGATTTTTAAGATGAATTTTGAAGAGAAGAAAATTCTAGATTATATCAAGCACATCCCTGAATTTTATAGAGAAGTATTTAAACGTTGGGTAATTTCAGGTAGTGGACAGACGAATAAAACCTACCAATTTCACAGAAATAAAAAACAGGTAATTCGGGGAAACAAACTGATTAATTTTGAAAAAAAACCCCATTATTTTTCAAATTGGATAAAGAGTACTTGATATTTGTCAATGATATTATAGATGACACTGGTGATATATCTCAACATTTTATTTTTCAAAAATTAGACTGTAAGAATAATGGATAGCAGAAAAAAAATATTTTGAAAAAGCCATCCCAAAAGAGTGGCTTCAGATGTTAAAGTCTGAAAGTTATATTAAGAGTATTGTAAATATTCCTAGACATAAATTGATCTGGAACGGTAATTACATTGAGGCTTCAAGTTTTTCTACAAACATATTATACAAGTCAATTTGTTAAGATAAAACGGAACCCTCAATTGGTGTTAGCAAATGGATGCGTATTTTACAAATCAATGAGAACCTTGAAGAGAATAAGTTAAAAATATATAGATGGAAACTTTTTCAATTCATATTACCAACAAAACACTTATTATTTAAATGGAAACAGAAGAACGACGGTCTATGTAATATATGTAACGAAAAAGAAGAGTATAACCACTTTTTTATTCCTTGTCGATTTTTAGGAAATTTTTTGAAAAGTATTCATGAGTTAATGAGAAAATCAAATTTAAATTTTAACGTATCGTTAAAGCAATTAGTCTTTGGATATAAGATTTTTGACAAAAATTATTTTGGTCAGAATTATTTCCTAACAATTTTAGGTTTTTCTATATACAAATCATATTATGTATCTAATAAGAAATTGACAAATGTAAATGTTTATCAAATTTTTGTTCGAGAATACATTAAAAGATATAACGAAAACAGAACAATGAAATTAAATCCATTACTAAGGTCACTAAGAAGAAGTATAAACAATTGAATAGATAAAAACATAATGCATAAAACTTTTGTATAATTGTATTTCAAGAAATGTGTATATACATATATTTCAACAGCTGATTACTAGCCTGAGTAATCGGTGGAATATTACAGGATACATCAAGAAGAGCATGGACTCTTGAAGTAACAATGTAACAAGCATATTTGGTGAATAAATATATAATGTCGTTAAAAAAGAAACCCATGAATGTATGACAAAAAACTCTAAAAGGCTTCGTTACTGTTATTTATTGTTGTAAATCCTCCCCTTTTTTTTACCTTTATCAGTGGATTAACAAAGTAGAAGAAAACAAATAGATTCAGTAACAACCAACTTTACTCTATTATAACAACACAACAGTTTAAAAAAACATATGTTCACACAAAACTATAAAAACTATAGCCCAACTAACAATGTTAACAGCTACTGCAAGCAAACTCAATATCAATTTGCTGATTCAAGCCCTTTTCAACTTATGTTTACAATTGTTTGGTACTATGTAATTTTGTTACTCTCCTGTCAATGTTCAAGCAGGGTTAAGCGTTTACAACCATGTTTCACCCCGTAACACTCTTAAAGTGACTGTCCCAATCCTGGAAATTGTAATCATGTGATTGTCATTGGTTACTGACTGTCACCTTTTATTCAAAGAGAATATCTGTTTCTGCTTGGTACCTATCTGAGGAGGCAAATTCTTTCCAACTGATTCGACAGTTTGTTATTATGTTGTCTTTTTACTCCACTGTCCCAGGTAAGAGGACCGTTGAGATCTCACAACTATGTTTAACATCACCACATTCTCTATGTGACTGTTTCAAGCTAGGAACCTGTAATTCAGTTGTTGTCTTTTGTTGCTGTCTATCTTAATTGTTTTTATTAATCAATTGGTGTAGTATAAATCAAGACATTAGTTTTTTTTTTCTTTTGGAATATTTTGTATTTTGTCACACCATCACCTTTTATAGCATACTATATGGGATTGATTTTTCTCATAGTTTAATCCGTAAGGTTACCTATAACTGTTCACATCGTTGTCCTTTGAACTTTAAGAATAGTTGCCTTATAAGCAACCGGAACACATACTTAGCTATACATACTAAATGTACCTTTAAGACTAACAAAAATATTCGTTTTTAACTCTCTTTTCCTCTTTCCCTTAATAGTGTATAAACATTATCCAGTAATCTTCTCCATAAATTGTTTTTGTTTTCATAATATATGGATATGTGTCAAGTATCGTCACTACAATTCCATTCTGTTTTCCTTAACTGTAACATCACTTAAATAGA